GTGTGCGCCGGCTGATTGCCGGAATAGATAAAACGGCGCAGACGCTATAATTATGGCTGGCTAGCACTTTTTATTTCATTTTCACTCAATGAAGCGCAATAATTGCTGCGATTAATGCAAATTCTTCTAACGCTTCAAAGGCATAAAATTTGACTGCACAAAAGGCGGCACATGACCGTAGCACACGCCCATGTCTGCACGCCCCCCACATAGTTGGGCGAGACAAACTGTTGTCAACCCTATAGCACGACTCTAGCCTAAGTCATCATGCCCTTCCTTGTTACCCCCTTGGCGTCAGTTAATGCTGGCAATGTGTATGCAAATGAGTTTCCAATGACTTGGTCCGAAAACAAAACAAGCGAGGATGATGTCTCTGCTGCACTTGAACTTGGCTACGTACTCGGTCTCCAACTGGGAGAGGCGCTAACCCAGTCGTTCGTTGGCCATTAGCTGTGTGTGTGTGTGTGTGTGTGTGTGTGTATGCGTCTCGGTTGCATGTGTCAAGAAGAAAGCGTTGCCTGTATAATAGCAAAGTTTGCACTTTTACTGCCAATCGTTGCGAGTGTGTGTGTGTGTGTGTGTGTGTGTCTGTGTGGTTGCGTGTGTGTGGCATGTCCCTTGTGGCTTGTCCAACTTTAAACGCTCAACGGAATAAGATAAGCGCAGCAGAGCACAACACACCAATTTTTGTTTAATGCATGCCCACTATTTCCCTCTCTCTTATCAGACTCTTAAAAAGCACTTCGCGTTGACACTAAAAGCCTTAACAGTCGATACACCTTTCAAGTCGTTATTGGACTACAGTCACAGCTTAACAAACTTTTTGCATACATTTTTACATACACTTTTTTATGTAGGCCTATAATTTCGCACTATTTTAATGTTAACTTTTTATACGCAAAATTATTTGCCGCGCAAAACTTTGAATTTCAGCGCCAGTGCTAAAAGCTTTTTTTAGTTTTAGCCAGTCTGGCAGCATACAAATATATTCGAACCAATTTACTTGCCGCGCAAATTTCAAAATTCATCGCTAGTCTGGCAGCACTTTAACACAGCGTTACCACTTAGTACTTGTTGCTTTGTATCAAGTTGGCAGCACGTCTATTTACGTAAACAAGAAGCAGACAAAACGCTTATAAAACAATTTTAAGGTTTTGCCGAAAGCGCCGTTAAAACCAGCTGCAAATGTCCAAGCACACATTAATAGGTATGTTTAAAATATGCAGAGTCGTGGCTTTAGTTAATGACTGGAGTTGCCGTCAGGTGGCGGCACTGGATTCATCGGCAGTCATCTCTCGAAGCATTTGGCGAAGAATGGCTATGAAGTAACTGTAATTTCGCGGATGCCCGGTCCGAAGCGCATCACCTGGCACGAACTGGAAAAACAGGGCATACCAAGCAGCGTCAACTCTGTGGTAAATGCAACTGGTCAGAATGTGCTGGACCCATCCAGACGCTGGACGCCGGGCTTTCAGCAAAATGTCTGGAACTCGCGTGTCAACTCGTCGAAGACGCTGAGTCAGGCGATTCAAGCAGCGCCGCAGGTGAAATCGTTCGTGAACTTATGTGGCGTTAGCCTCTATCCGCCATCGGAGACCAAGACGTACACTGAGGACGATCAGGGCGTGAATTACGACTACATGTCGAGCCTGTGCCTGGCCTGGGAGGAAGCAGCGCGCTCCGGTGACTCGAAGGATAAGTGTGTAGGTGTACACACGCATCTAGAGTTACAATGTATCAATATCGATTTTCCAACACTGACACTTTAGAGCATCGTGCGCACTGGCGCTGTCGTCGGACGCAATGGCGGCATGATTAAATCCATTTGGCTGCCCTTCAAACTGGGTCTCGGTGGTCCCATGGGCGCTGGCAATCAGATAATGCCCTGGATACATATGCACGATCTGTGCGGCCTCATCCAGCATCTGATTGAGAATTGCGAGTCGGGCGTCTTCAACGGCGTTGCACCGGAGATTGTTAGCAACAAGGGCTTCTCACAGGTGAACCATTTCGATTTGATGTGCTGACTCTCCAAATTGACCAATTCTTCCCTCCCTGCTTTAGGCATTCGCCAGCGCTCTGAATCGTCCATGCCTGTTCGCTGTGCCCGAGTTCGTAGTGCAGGCCATCTTTGGCAAGGAGCGTTCCGCGCTGCTCTTGAGTGGCGCCAAGATTCAGCCCAAGCGTACGCTCGCCTCTGGCTATCAATTCAAGTATCCGGATGTGAAGTCTGCCGTAGCCGAAGTTGTTGGCAAATAGAGAGCTGAAGCAGTTGAGAATTTGTTATGAATGCTTGAAATTGGCGTTGTTAAACTATTTATTATTTAAAACGATCTTCATTTGTATTATATCGATTAAACTAGAGCACATACGAGGTATATACATTGTCTATATATATGTACATAGAGACATATTTGTTAATCATGTCTAGGCACTTGATGAGCATTGTGAAATTTTAGTCTATAATTCGCATAATTATGGAAAATAATTTGTTTACGTATTACTCATGGGCAACGATTATTATTATTAAATATTATTGCACCCATTAAAAATGGATGTTGAGTCTAGGGTATATTAGTTCTGTAACCGTGTATGTAGGAGGCTGAAGAAGGCGTGGCATGCACTGTGTTTCAGACTATGTATGAAAGATCAGTAAAATGCTTTGATAAATATCTTCTAGTCAGGAATTCCCCATAAGAACAAAGTTATTTGCATAAATTTCAAGTATATAACATGCTAAAGAGTTGCAAGGGTTAAGAGCTAATGACCGAAAGAGATCCTAGAATTTGTATACTTACATATGTAGTTTAGTTTACGTAAATGTTTAAGATAAATCGTTGAGTTGACAGCAGATGACTCCACACTTTTATTCCCTCTTTATAAAGGTGTGGAGTTGCCTGCTGTTAACTCAATGATAATCTCTAACATGTTCATAAACAACAAAAAAATTATAAAAATTCGGGAATCGATCTTTTGTTATTGTAATTATTTAAACTACACAAAAAGCTAAACCGCCCACACAGAAATCCAAAGAATCTAACTAGAGGTAATCCGAAACTAAGAAAAAAGTACCGAAATCAAGCGATGTCGATTGAATTAATTAGGCAATCGAAATAATTGCATAGCAAAAAAGTTAATTCCGAATAAAATTTTTTAAAAATCATTCATTTGCGCTTCACAATCAGCATGGAACGCCTATAAAACCCTCATGACATGTCATGTCTAGCTCATTCGTAGCTGGACCATTGGAAGTGCTAAATAATGTTATATAAATCTCAGCAATTACTGCTCATCGTTGGGCTCACCTGTTGGGTAACTGAAACACGAACCTCCAAATGTTGAATGAATAATTTTGATAAATCAAATGCGAAACAGAGCGTGGCCCAAGCGGATGTCGACTGCAGCCAGAAGCCGAAGTTCGTGAATCCCAATACCTGTTGCCCTCTGCCGGAGATCGCCACACCCGAGTTAAATGAGAAATGCAAGGAATACCTGCAAACTCCAGCAATGCAAATGGAGTCAAGCACCGAGGGAAAACGTGGACATCGTCACCATTCGTTCCTTCCTCCAGTAAGCGGAGATTTCTGTAGAGATTTAAAATTTATGGATAGCTATACCTCTCTCTCTCTCCATCTCTCTCTCCCTCTTTCTCTCTCTCACTCTCTCTCTCTCCCTCTCTCTCTCTCTCTCTCTCAAATTAGTGCTACATCTCTTGTATCTTCAATGAGACGGGCATCTATAAGGACAACGAGGTGGACATCGATGCGCTCAACGATTACCTGAAGAACATCTACAAGGACAACGCTGAGCTGGAGAGCATTGCCACTGAAGCAGCTGGCAAATGCAACGCCAAAATGGACGAGTTCAAGGATAAGATGAGCAATCGACCACGCCCATCGCCACCACCCGGCGCCATGAAGTGCCCCCACAAGCCCGTCTTCCTGGTTGGCTGCGTTCTGGGCAAGATCATGTTCAATTGTCCCGCCTCCATTTGGAGCGATACCCAGGAATGCAACGAGGCTCGTGATTACTTCAAGGCCTGCAAGCATCACAAGCGCGATCGATTTGGTGGGGATAACTAATTGGAGAGTCAGCAAAGAAAACCCCCAATAGTTAATTAAAGCACTTACCCGAGGAGCAGAAGAAAAAACGAAAATATTCAAAATATCCTAAAATAATTGATGTAAAAAGAGTCCTATATAACCTCGCTGCGACCCGAATAAAATGTGAAGAAATTCATAAAAAAAAAAACAAAAACAAAAAACATTTATCGAAACTAGAAGATACCCTGTAAAGCAATATGAATGGGGAAAATAGGTTTATGGAACAGTTAGAAGAAGAGCTGAGTCAATATAGTTGTATTCCTCACCTCATCTAGGGTCGAATAAGACCTAGATAAAAAGTCATTTCCACTTGTCAGTCACTTCCATATTGGGCACGCTCTGTTTCACAATTACAATGAATATTTAATTTATTATTACTAAACTGATGTTCCATTTAGAGATTTCGCTATGCCAAGCAGACTCCAATAATTGCTGAGATCTCGATAGAAATCTGTTTGCGCCTGCGCTGGCTTATTATATGTATATGTAATACATTATATAAAATATATATAAGTAAATCTATTTTTGGGATCTCAACGATGCGCAGCTTTTTTTTAGCTTCTATATTTTAGAGAATTTCAGCTTACATTTACTATATTTGGGATCTCAACGATGCGCAGCTTTTTTTTAGCTTCTATATTTTAGAGAATTTCAGCTTACATTTACTATAGAATCGGTTCAAGCTTAGACTTTAATTGAAAATTCTAGAAATAAAGCTGAAACAGGCTCCAAGCATTTTAATATACTTCAATTAGGTTTTCTGTTCTATTCCTAAATAATTCCAGTTAAATTTGTATCTATAAAAAACTTTATTCAACTCGCTTTCCCACTTTGTTTCGCTGTAATTCCATTTGAAGCAAATGCATTTAGATCTGCTCGTAATTGGGTTTAGTCCTTGCACATTATCCTTTGCGCTGCTTATCAGCGCTTTGCACGCCTGAGCGCGCAATGAAATAGAAAATTCGATTTTCCGCAATTGAAAATGTTCTTATCAAACACTCAACCAGGCAGCCAGTCGGCCAGGCAGGCAGTAAAGGCAGCCTGGGCAGCCAGCTAGCGCTTCCTGCAGTCTCATTTGGCCTCTGCTGCTGAAGCGAACAGGACGTGTCCATGGCGAGCATTGAGAGCGAGTTGGCGCAGTTTGTGGCGCAGTGCCGGAAGCAGGAATTCAGCGAGTCGGAAATGCGCAGCATATGCCAGCCAATCCTCTGGCATTGGCGACTACTGAAACTGAGAAAGTGGGTGCAGTGGCTCCTGCTGCCCGCAGTGCTGGTCTATCTGCTGTGGAGCTGCTGCGACAGCTGTGCCTGGACATTGAGCGCCCTGGGGCGCCTGCTCCTGATCGAGCTGCTGCCCTATTGGGACTGGACGCTCTACTACAATGCCAAGTGCCTGATCGAACGGGAGTCGGAGCGGAGCACTGACTGGCAGCCGAAGCCGCTGGGCAGACACGAAACTCTCTGGGAGAACTGTGCGCTGTGCGAGCAGCTGGGTATGAACGCTCTGTGGGCACAGCTATATATATAGCTGACATCTCAAATCCATTTCAGAGAGCATTCCCGTCGTCTCTAATGCCAGCTACTCCCTGCTGGAAGCGGAGTATCTGGAGCGCGGTCTGCCAGTTATCGTGAGCGACTGCCAGCTCGAGCTGAGCTTGGACCAGTTGCTGCAGCGATTGCTGGAGCGGGCACCAGAGCTGCTCTCCAGCGAGCCCTGCGACGTCTCCAGCAATCTGATGCTGCGACAGCTCTTCAATTTGGATGCTGCGCTGCAGAAGATTCCAACCAGCCCCGCGTGGCATCTGCACTTCCGCAACTGTGAGTCGCGGGCGGTGAAGGCTTCGCGCCTCTATGCCGACAAACCCTACTACTACCCCGTGCATCTGGAGCCCTACTACTCCAGCTGGCTGCTGCTGGCGCATCGGCAGCAGCGCCCGCAAACGGAGATCTATGTGCGTGGCCTGATCTTCATACAACAGCTGAGTGGCCACTTCGACTGGCAGCTGCGCCCCAAGCAGCCCTGCCAGGAGTACAATTGCCCCAATCTGAGTCTGCGCTTGGCTGCGGGCGAGTGCCTGGTCTACTCCACGGATCTGTGGCGTCTCAGCTACGGAGTGCAGCAGCAGCCGAATGGTAGCGACACCTCCATTGCCACACTGTTCGAGGTGAATTGGCAGCTGTAGGAGAAGTTATGGAACATAATAAATCATAGATCATCTATACATATATATGAAATAACTCAGATAACTACGAACTGGAAGTGAGGTATTAAACGTCAAATAAGATGTGGTTCCATAATAGAAAGGTGTACGAAATAGAGAAATATAAATCAGTCCTAGATAGCCAAAAGTTTCCCTTTTCATTCCATTCCTATCTAATAATACAAGAAATAAACCCACATTTCCCGAAAATAAATAATGGGATCCCTCAACCTCTATATATACTATTCTCCACTATTGTCTCCACTATTCTCTTCTCTATACTATTCTCTTTGTGCTGACTCAACGCAGTCATAAATAAGATATATATTAATTAGTTAATACTTATAGATATCCCATTCCAATAAAAAAGGAAACCAAATCTGTCGAATTGTCCAAATTGTATTTACACAGAGATAAGGATTACACATCAACATCAAGCAGACAGGATATGCATTGGAACTTAGTTTAATACTGTTTTGTAGTGCTTCATTCAGTTCAGCCTTAGTGGCTCGACTCGACCCTCCGTCTAGGCCCTGCGGCACTTGGCCTCGACGAGCTTCTGCAGCGTGGCCGTCAGACTGTTGATGGCATCGATCTTCATGCGCTCGATGCGCTCCTGCTGGACCAAGGACATCTTCTGGATTTGCAGCTGTTCGCGCTGCAAGCTGCGCTGCAGCTCCATCTTCTCACGCTCCACGTCCAGCTTGCGCTCGAAGTAGTCCTTCCACCAGATGTCGTCCTGCTGAGCGGGCGGCGGCTGCAACTGTTCGTAGAGCTTGCCTGTGGGAGCCATTGCCATCTCCTGGCTATCCGTCTGGTCCGGAATGCTGGTGCTGCCCGTTTGATCGGCATCGTACTCGAGCTTGGGCTGACGCACCTCCGACAAGCTGTTGCTGTCCTCGTCGAACTCGTCATTCGATTTGCTGTCCAGCTGCAGCTGCACCTGCGGCTGCAACAGCACCTGATCCACGGGCGTTATGTACGGCTGTCCATCCTGAGGCGTTGCTGGCTTCGACTGCTGTTGTTGCTGTTGTGGCTGCTGTTGCTGCTGTTGCTGTTGCTGCAGCTGCTGCTGCTGCTGTTGCTGCTGTGCCTGCACCTGTTGCTGCTGCTGCTGCTGCTGCTGCGTCGTCATTTGGACGGGCTGCAGCTGCACATCAAAGTCGGCCTTCTTGCCCTGCAAGTACTTGAACATCTCCTCGAAGAACTCCCAGTGCACGTAGCCCGAGACGTACTTCTTGTTCAGATTCTTGTTGTAGGTGATGAGGATGTTGTGCCACTTCTTTTGCACCTTGGCCGCGCTGTAGCGGAAGCCCAGCCGCTGCAGCTGCCGGGTGCAGTGCAGCCACAGCGCCGTCCGCTTCTGCCTGCCCTCCGTGAAGCTGCCCTCCATGGGTCCGCGGATGTGTATCAGGGCTCGCGTCGCTTCCGTTGTCCAGGCGCGCTCGTACGGACCGCGTCCTATGCTATTCGCGCTGCCCGACAGCTCCGTCTCCTCCAGCAGGCAATCGTCGTCCAGGTCGTCCAGCTCATCATCGCTAATGGGATAGGCTAAGGAAAAAGGAAATGGAAAACAAACAATGCTTTAGCACCTGTTGCTGCTGATGACGGCTCTCACGAGCTGCGCAGCCTCTCTCGCTCTCAGCTTGCGTCGCTCGCTCTCTCTCAGCTTGCCACACACCAGCCACCAGCCTCCACCCACCACCCACCAGCCGCAGCCGCAGCCACCCACATCCTAGTCAAACGCCCGAAGCTGCAAGGATGCTAGCGCTGCTGCTGCTGACGCACAAGCATAGCCAAAGCTGAAGGATACACATTTTCACAGTCTTCAATCGAAATCAAAATCACAACTAGCACTCACACACACACACACACACACACATGTACAGATTTATATTCATTTAGTGCTTTAGTACTTACGCTCAGTCTCCTCAGCGCTGCCATTATTGTTCGCTGCACCATTCAATGCGATTTGTGCCATTTGTCGATGATATTCCTAATTAGTATTATWATTATTATTTTAGTTAGCTGCTAGTCTATGTATTTGATAGCACTATTGCTGCTTTAATTAAAATTGATTTTCTGACAGCCTACTCGACTCTCGTCTCGTCTCGACTCAGCTCTACTCAGCTACTCAGCCTAGACCTGGCTGCTCTCAATAGTTTTCTGTTACTAACCGAAGGACATTTTGTGGGCTGCAGGCGGCTGCCAGGCGCTTAAGCTTCCACTCTCTCTCTCTGTCGCACGCTTGCACTCGCYCTCTGTCTCGCTCTCGCACACTGAGCATAAAGCTCTTTGGCTGCTGCCGCTCTCTGAACTCAGATCTGTGCGGGCTGCTGTGCGGCTAGGTCATAGTATTTGAAGTATCTAGAACGAATGCTGATTGACTGTACATATATATGCAGACATATATGTGTATAGATATGTTTATATGACATTTAGCAGCTGCGCACTATTTCATTAATCTGATAATATAATAACTTAAACACACCTTAATTAATGTCTAGACTAAAACTCAATACTACAATAATATAATCAATTAATTTAGTCATTTTGTAATATTTTTATTTTAAAATATATTTCAAAGAAAAAATCTAAAAATCTGTAAAATATTTACAATTTTTGTACTATATTAA